TGATAAGGTAGTGTGTGCCTGTCATCTTCATTATGTGGGAAACACAAAGGCAGGATGAAATGTCACACAACTGTCATCCCTAGCAACACAGAGAGGCATAAGTAAGAGGATTAGAGCCCAGGCCAGCCCAGGCATAAAATGAGACCATACCTGGAAAATAACCAACACTAAAGGGGGCTAGAGATGTTCCTCAAGTAGTAGAAAGCCTGCTGCCGAACAAGTGGGAAGCTCTGAGAAGAAGAAAAGGAGGAGCAAAAGGAGGAAGAGAAAGAAAGCTCAGTATTCGACTAGGAGGGGGCTATTAAAGATTCTCACACAGGAGCTGGGCACTGGCATCAGACACCTATAATCCTAGCTACGCAGGAGGCTGAGATCTAAGAATCATGGTTCAAAGTCAGCCAGGGAAGAAAAACGCATGAGAGTCTTATCTCCAATTAACCATCAAAAAGCTGAAAGTGGAGCTGTGGCTAAAGTGGTAGAGTGCCAATCTTGAGTGGGGACAGTGCCTGGGCTCTGAGTTTCAGCCCTAATACCAGAACCAAAAAAAAGGGGGGGGGATTCTCACACTGGAAGTAGCCTGGCTTCCTGACTCCTACACAATAGGGGGCAGATTTTAGTTTTCAGTCAATCAAGAGGCAAAAGCCTCTTGAGATCAGGTCTGTCTCCTCCCGCTAAAAAGTGACATGCCACTGGAAAAAGGAGCAAAGAAGCAGCTTCATTTTAGTTATATTTGTATGATCTTTAAGTAGTTGTACAAAGGGGTTACCATTCAACAAATCAGCTTACAAGTGCAATGCTTCTTGACTGATGTCATCCTTCTCATTGTTTTCCCCTATATCTCCCAACTAAATTCCTTCCCTCAAATTTTCTAGTTTCATATGATATACATTGAATATTATGACTGCATTCTCCCCCCCTTTCTCTCTGTATTCCTCTAACCCCCTTCCCTTGACCCCATCTACCACCTTTTCAAGTATCAGTTTCCTTCTATTCATTTTATTGGACTGTGAACCTAGTTTTCAAAAGAATTACATCATTTGAATTCTTCCCTGCAAATACCATACCTTAGTTAATAAGGTTGTGAGCACTTGAATACACTCCCTATGTATTCACTTGTACATTTATAAATTCATTCTACTTTCTACATATGAGAGAGAACATGCATCCTTTGTCTATCTGGGCCTGACTTACTTCACTTAATATTTTTCAGGTCCATCCATTTCTTTACAAATGATGTGATATCATTCTTCCTAATGGATAAAGTTCCATTGTCTATATGTACCACACTTTCTTGATTTATTTGTCAATTGAGGGGAATGTGGGCTATTTCTCTACATTAGCTATCATAAATAATACAGCAATGAACATGGTTGTATGTGTGGACTCACTATATCCTATTCTAATCTTTTGGATAAATGTCCTGGAGTGAAATTTCTAGATCATAAAGTAGTTCTATGTTTAGTTTTTTTGATGAATCTTCAAACTGCTTTCCAGAATGGTTGACAAAGTTTACATTCCCACCAACAGTGGGAATTAGGGTTCTTCCCACATCCATGCTAGAGTTTATATTCTTGATGGCCATTCTAAATATAGTGAGGCATAATCTCTGTGTTGTTTTGAGTTACATTTCCTTTATGGCCAGAGATGTTGATCATTCTTCATGTGTCTATTGACCATTTTTACGCTTCTTCTGAGAAGTCCCTAATTAGCTAGTTTCCTGATTTATTAATTAGGTTGTTGATTCTCTAAACTCTTTGTAGATTCTGGAAATTAAATCTTAAATTCTTCAGCTGCCTTCACAATAGCATTAGCAGATTTACAATTCACTGTGTAAAAGTTCTCCATCTGTTTAAATCACCCAGAGTTAGCAGTCAATTCAAGAATAAAGTTGGGACCAGCTTTTATTTCAACATTAAATACAAAGTTCTCAGATCTACTGTGGTCATTATGGTATGTTCACAAATAAAATAAAATTAAATTAAAAAAAAGAATGTTAACATTATGCCCACCTTTGGTCCTCAGCTCCACCCATACCTGAGCTTCTCCTTGCCCTGGAATTCCTACCCTACAGCTGGCCATTCCTTCGCTCCACCCACCTGAGTACCCACCTACCTCACTTCCTGCCCCACAGACCTTCCAGCTACCTGGATAAGGACGGGTGCTATGTGCTTCCTCTCCTGAGAAATATGACCCCTCTAACAAACCTTATAATATATTTTCTTGTGTGCCTGTTTGCCTCAGGGTGGTCCCCTGGGATGGATGTGAAGGATCCTTTCAAAGAGTCTCGAAGATTCCTGCCTGGGCTGGCTTTGAATCATGATCCTCACATCCCAGCCTCCTGAGTTGCTAGGATTAGAGGCATGAGCCACTTGTGCCTGGTGCAAAATCCATTTTTGATAACTAAAACAACATGAGATGAAACTAAGCACAAGGGAAAAGGGTACAAGCTGGCAATGTGATAAATATGATATTGACCAATGCCATAAACACGGTCTATTGTTGACCAAAACATTGTTATGCAATGCATGTGTATAAGAACTATCTGAGAGGAATTTGAGGAGGATAGCCACAGCCAAATACCAATAATGATGAAATCACATTTAGTATCAAAGACCAAAAAAAAAAATGCTAGATGGAGTTGGGTTACAGATAGGAGCTGCTGTCTGCCATTTATCTGCACATGAAATGGAGAGAAATTGTCCTGAATGTCCCGGGGAAGTGCAGTGCCCAACCCCTTGATTGGGTTGGGTATTCCCAAGGGGGAATTGATGCAGACATGAATGTTTTCTCTTTCCATACATGTGCACACAAACAGAGAGAGAGAGAGAGAGCACATTCCTAGGAGTTTAAGTCTCTACTAAATGAGGATCGCAGAGTAGGGTGGCCTGTCACACAGCATGCTGTAAGAACCTTTGGCTCCTTCTACCTGTGGACAGGATGCCTCACCTCACATGCCAGCAGCCTTTCCTCATCACCTGACCTCCATTTTTCCACTTCTTCTCTGGATCAGCTTCATATGAATCAGCTTCATCCTTACATTCTTTCATACTTGGACTCTTGGTCTCAGAATCTTTCCTCTTACTCCTCCTCCTCCTTCCTGTTCTCTTCCTCCTTCAAGAACTATATAATTCAGACAAAATCATATAACCTAAAGCAAAGGTTCTCCAAGTGCGGCATGAACATCACCTGGGAATATGTCCCAGTGCCTATGTGTCAGCAAGCCCCCAGTGGAAACTGTCTCCGGCTATCACACTTTGAGAACCACTGTGGAAACCTAGCATCACTGAACCTATGATCAAATGGATAGCTAAAAAACAAAAAAACACAGGCTTTTCTTTTCCCCACATGATTACTCCCTGATATTTCCCAAGACATCTAAATTATCCACCAGTTAACTCGATGAATTTGTCCTCATTGGTAATAAATTTTCACTTCCTTCAAGAAAATGTTTTGAGATTACTTTATTTCTTCTTTAGACACTAGAAGAAATAATCAATTTACTAAGTGCTTTTGAAGAAATGCTTGTTATCCTGGAGAAATGTCTTTGTTGCTGTTCCTGAACTCTGCTGACCTTGTCCCTAACTGTGTCTCACACTAAAGTGGAACTGGGGTGGTGTGGGGTGTTGGGTTAAGAAGCCTTGGTTGTCCTAAATCAGGACAGAGAAGCAGAACAGAATCTTGGCTCTGAAAGGAAAGTGGGATGTGACACAAATCCTGCCACCAGCAACCCAGCAACTAACCCAGCCATAAAAGGGCACTAGTGGTTCAATCAAACCTGTAATCCTGCCTACTCACAAGGCTGAAATCTGAGGATTGTAATTTGAAGCTAGCTTGGGGCAGAAAAGTCCAAGAAACGTTTATTCCTAATTGACCACCAAAAAGCCAGCAATGGAAGCATGGCTCAAGTAACGGAGCACCAAAGTGAGCTGGGTGCCAGCAGCTCATGCTTGTATTCCTAGCTACTTAGGAGGGTAAGAGCTGAGGATCAACGTTTGAAGCCAACCTAGGCAGGAAAGTCTGTGACATTCTTATCTCCAATTAACCACCAAAAAGCCAAAAGTAGGTCTGTGGCTCAAGTGGTAGAAAGCTAGCTCTGAGCAAGAAAGCTCAGGGATGAACCTAGTCCTTGAGTTCAAGCCCTAGGACTGGCAAAAAAAAAAGAGAAAGAGAGCAGGGGGGAGAGGGAAAGGGAGAGGGAGAGGGAGATGGAGAGGAAAAGGAAGGAAGGAAGGAAGGAAGGAAGGAAGGAAGGAAGGAAGGAAGGAAGGTGCAAGCCATGTGATAGTACAAGGCCCTGGGTTTAAGCCCTCATACTGGCACACAATTTTTTTAAAGGGAGGCCCTGCTTCCCTTTCCCCCCCCCCCATTCTACTATCTCTTCCTACTGAGCCAAAGCCAGAAACAAGAAGGCTCACTCCTCAGGGCCATACCTGCCCCCAGCTCCAGAGACCATATCCCATCTTCTTAAAAGTAAGACTCTGCTCTGTAGCTGGGAAATTCATTACTGAAATCCTCATTCTAATGGTGGAGCAAAAAACCAGAGGAGAATCAAATATCAACATGGCAAGTCTCGTTCCAGAATGCACTATCATTCCACAGTCATTGAAACACCAAATACTACCTGCTATCCCAGCTGGGGTCCTTGCCCACAGCCCAAGCCAGGAGCCAGTGGAGATGTACATGGAAACACATGGTGGCTTGTCCTTCCTGAGTCTGCAACCCATATCTCCTCCCCCAGGAATGGTTGAGAAGGCTCTAACAAGGGCTCCTCTGGGGTGCCTGAGGCATGAGCTCATGCATCACTGGGCTCTCTCCCTGGGAGAGCAAACCATCAACATTCAACCTGTCCCAGACCCAGAACAGCTTCACTCTGACACTTCAAATGCCAACAGTCCTGCAGTCAGTATTCAAATGTCTCTGTTCACTGCCTTCTGTCTGTCATGGTGTAGTCCCCAGGAGCCTAAAATTTGAGAAGTGAAACATGCCCTTCCCTTTCATGATTGGGGGGAAGAAACCTAGAGGCCTTTTTATTGAGCCTGTTGTTTATCTGCTGGTCACAAGCAGGCCCTCACCATGATCAGAATCCCAGCCACCTTCTTCATCTGGACTCTGATTGCTTGCAGTAGTGGTGGCCATGGTGGGAGTGAAGATTGGCCGGTGCACAGGGCCTGCAGCAGTGATGGCTTGGAGGTTCTCTACCGGAGCTGCGGTAAGGTCTTTCACAATGTCACCTGTGTTTATGGGGCAATTAAGGCCTACAGCTATGGGCTACCTTAGTGCTAACTTGGATGAGAGAGGGAATGGGAACCAACACCCCAACCCCCTTCCTACCTGCAGGGGACTTGGAGGACTTTTGGAGTCCTTGAGAGAGGAAGGAGGGGGGGTGGATGAGGAAGAACAATGGAGAGGGTAAGAAAGAGAAAGTAAGAATCTAAGCCTGTGCTGGTGGCTCACGCCTGTAATCCTAACTACTCAGGAGGCTGAGATCTGAGGATCACTGCTCAAAGCCAGCCAGGGCAGGAAAATCTGTGAGACTCTTATCTCTAATTAACCACCAGAAAACCAGAAATGTTTCTGTGGCTCACAGTGATAGAGCATCAGCCTTGAGCACAAAAGCTCAAGGACAGTTTGCCCAGGCCCTGAGTTCAAGCCCCACAACTGAAAAAAACAAGAAAAAAAAAGTAGGCAAAATATGGAGCCAAGAGAGCCAGGAAATGGTGGCTTGGGTCTATAATCTAAGATACTCAGGTGACTGAGATCAAGAGGATCATGATTTGAAGCCCAGGAAGAAAAGTCTAAGAGACTCTAGGTCCATACACATGTAATCCTAGCAAGCATGGGAAGCCTAAAGCGGGCAGATCACAGACCAGGTGCATTCTTGCTGGGGAATCAAGACTTTATCTCAAAAAGAACCTGTGATAAAGGAGGAGGGAGGAACGGAGGTGTGGCTCATGCGGCAAAGTGCCAGCCTAGCAAGCAGAAGGCACTTAGTTCAAACCCCAGTACTGCCTAAAACAATGATCAAGGAGTATTCCAAATCATAAAAAGAATTAGGGAACCGCCATCTCCACCAAGCTTTTCACCCAAGCTGTGCCCCTGAGCTAGCTCTGCAGTGCATTTAGCTGGCCTATCAAGTGAAAAAGTCACTGAGCCCAATGGTTCCAGTGCTCTGCTGCCGCCTCCACGCAGTGGTGGCCAGGATCTGTCATTTGCTGCAAGCACCTGGGAAGCAGCCATGGCCCCCCCAGGGCTTTCTCTAGTGTAAAAACAACAAAAAGGAGGCTGTGGTTTGAAAAGGCAGGAGTTGGAAACTCAATTGCCAGTGTATCCATGTTAGGAAGTAGGATCTTATGAAAGGTGTGGAGTTGAGAGAGTTCCACCTTCATGAATGGGTTAGTGCCGCTATGCAAAATCCAGAAGCTGCTCACCCTTCACTCCTGCTGTTATAACACAGCACAAAGGCTCCCATCATATTTCAGCTCCTAAATCTTAGACTTCTCACCCTTCCAGAATGTTGAGCCGATACATTCTGTTCTTTTTTGAGGGGGTGAGAGGGGGTCCGGTCGTGGGGCCTGAGCTCTGGGCCTGGGCACTGTCCCTCAGCTCTTCAGCTCAAGGCTAGCACTCTACTACTTGAGCCACAGCGCCACTTCTGGCTTTTTTCTTTTTGCTTATGTGGTGCTGAGGAATCAAACCCAGGGCCTCAGGCATGCAAGGCAAGCGCTCTACCACTGAGCCACCTTCCCAGCCTTTGACACTTAAGTTTTAAGAAAAAAACACTCCATG